TATCATACTCGATATAGCTAGCTAACTCAATAAAAGTGGTACGGATAGCTAGCTATCACAAGCCGATATTGCCCGATAACATATTTTTATAGCTAGATAATCTCAAAGGCATTTTTTTGCTTGGGATTATCTTATTTTTACGGAAGGGCGTAATGAAAATGAGAAAAATCAATTTTAAGACCAAAACGATCAAATAATGCATACGAAGCTTTTTCAATGTTGAATTTTTTTTCTTATTTATACATGCGGTCTCGAAGACTAAAATTCTACTGCTTAATAGAATGAAGTATCAGAGAATTTTTGACAAAGTTTGGGAGTAGTACTGTATTTCTTTGACCTGCTATAGACGTTTTAGTGAAGCGTATGAAAAATGAAAATTTCAAATTTTTTCGAAAAATATTTTTTTCACAAACAACAACCATGTTCTTTTAATTCGGTTATCGCCAGTTTATAGCGGTTTTTCCACTCTACAAACTCCAGTATAAACAATATCTTCACTATACTTCGTTACTGGGTTGAAAAACGTTTTTCATCTCATGTCACTAAACGGTCAAACTGTTATAAAAATTACGTTTTGAGAAACGCTCATAGTTGCAAACCAAAAATTATATATGGTTAGATGAGCAATCAAATTCTCTATCGAACCGATCATTCAGCTTTTTCATACTTTTTAATTTTTAAATCCGGCAGGATCGTTTCATGGACTATCCACTCATACATTTACTTTATCGTCTACTTGAAGGGACATGGGAAAATGGTGGAGGTTAAAGAGAAGACGTCAAATGTACAATACGTTTGGCACATTATCGTATTACATCTCCCGTTTTTTAAAATTCATACTGGGCATTCGACGTTAATGTTTGATCGATGTTTTTGCATTACTGCTGTTGAAAACAGTGGAATTATTGATGTCGGTTTAAGACATTTGAAGAACTTTCGCTAAGTTAAATGAACAGTCAAATAAGGCACAAAACGAAAGAATATTGATAAAACGAACTACCCAAACTTTCTTGTAAGCTTTTACGATATAGATCGTAATTTCAATGGCGTTTATAATTCGGAATTTGAATTTTACAATAAGTTTTTAGAAGTTCGAAACTTCCCATGGTGAATTTTGAATAGCTCCGTTTAAGAGTTCTTCTTAGGATCCAGAGAAAAATATTTATCAACACCACAAATTATTGTAAAATGCCATTATCCTACTTATATCCTGCGAGATCAGGAAACTAACGTGGAAACGCGAGTACATGTCGGTGACTCGAGGCCGATTCTACTCGGTTATTAAAAATTATATAGAATGAAACAATAAAAGAAGAATTATAAGTAACTGATTAGCATCATTTGTCACATCATGTTCGATTTATTTTTTTTAGTCTATTAATTATACCGAAAAGAATGGACACTGATATGTTCTCTGATAGTTCTCTGATATGTATATAATTTTTAATAACCGAGTAGAATCGGCCTCGAGTCACCGACATGTACTCGCGTTTCCACGTTAGTTTCCTGATCTCGCAGGATATAAGTAGGATAATGGCATTTTACAATAATTTGTGGTGTTGATAAATATTTTTCTGAGAGTTTACGTCCATAAACAAAGACTCTTAGCAATACAACGTCGCCTTCCTGATAATGTGAATCTGGACGATTCTTATCATATCTTTGCTTATTCAATTCTTGTTGATGAATAATATGCTGTTTTGCATTTTTGGGATAAATATTCAACGTTTTTTGTAGTTGAATGAAATAGTCGCTGGATTTTTGAGATGAAAATTGAGTTGGCCGTGGATCAATCGGTAACTTTGCTGATCTTCCAAATAATAATTCATATGGAGAATATTTTGTTGTTTTATGAATGCCAGAGTTATAAGCAAAAACAACTGCTTGTAGATATTCGTCCCAATTATTACCTTCAGAATCTTGCAATTTGGCTAATTGCGGCACGAATGTAGCGTTGAATCTCTTAACTATTCCGTTCGTTTGTGGATGATATGGAGTTGAGTAGATGTGATTATATCCAATTAATTTTGATATGTTTTGCATCAACATATTTTGGAAATGTGGACCTTGATCACTCAGGATTACCGAAGGTATTCCAAATTTATAGAAATAAACATTGAATAATGTTGACGCTGTTGTCTGTGCCGTACAATCGGGAAGAGCTAATGCGGTTACATGTCTTGTGAAATGATCTGTTAGCACAAGTACATACTGATTTTCACGAGATTTGCATTTAAAAGGACCGCAAAAGTCCATACCGATCAATTGAAACGGTCCGTCTGGTGGTTGAATTGGACGAAGACAACCAGAACGTTTTTGACGATTGATATTGTTTCTATAGACAACCGCTCACCATTGTCATCGATCTGGGAAAGACATGTAATGTTTGCTCCCTAATTAAAGCAATAGATTTATTATATTAAGAAATTTGTTCACTATGCATTTGAGCTGTTAAAATACGGCTGAGTGAATTAAACATAAGAACTCCACTTGGAGGATAGCAAAATTTAGCAAATTTTAGACTGTAAACGAAGGAAGCAAGCGAATGATTTAGTGGCGTAGCCACAGGTTGGCTGGGGTAGGCTAAGCCCACCCAAAAACTGTTTGAGTCCACCCTCAAGATATTTGAGTTTATCCGGAAACATTTTTTAGGTGTCTCAAGAAAACTTGTGATATAAGATATGAAAGATATCACATCAGATTGTTTTTTGAAGTATAAAGATTTCGATCAATTCTG